TGTATATATATACAGAAGAAGGCAGTGGTGATAGATGTAGCAGTCCTGAGCGACAGCAACATCAGGAAGAAGGAACACAAGAAGCTCGAAAAATACAAAGGGCTGAAAGAGGAGCTAGAAAAGATGTGGGGAGTAGATGTAACAGTGGTGATGGTGGTAATTGGGACACTCGGGGCTGTTACCCCCAAACTGGGAGAGTGGCTCCAGCAGATTGAAGGTACAACATCTGAGGTCTGGTAGAGGACCTGAGCTTCTTCTTACGTAAGTCTGAACATCTCTTTGCTGGATATATTCAATGGAAAATTTTAAAGGAAACCTCTTTAACTTTATTATGAAGACAGCATTTGTCCCCAACTAGCCAACCTTTCTGCCCATTAAGGGACTGTTCATTACTTAGGAGGGGGACACAGAAATTATCATTGGATTTTCAAATTTCCGTCAGTTCTTGGACACATGGTGTGCGCGAATTCCTCAGTCAGTAAAAAGACATAACCAAATCTGAGCTGAAAATAGTGATATTTCATCAAAATCACTTTATTCTACATCTCATTTAAAATTTGGCCAAACGAAAAATAATGAAATGGACGAAAAATATTTGTATCTTTGGAGACGTCACAGGTCAGGCAGTTCGTTTTTTTGTTTTAAACCAAAAACGAAAAAACGGAAATACCATGGTTTTCCCGTTTTTTTCCCTTTTTGGTTTAAAACGAAAAAACGTGAAAATGGAGCCGTTTTTCCGTTTTTGTTGTCAGAATTAAAAAACGAAAAATGACAAAACCAAATTCAAATAACAGCCCGATTTTGGTTTTTTGCGGATTCATTTTTTCATCTGTTGTTTTGGACAAAAAGTAGAACGGCGGTGACATCAGAGGCGGAAGTAACTTCAAAATAAAAGACAGGAAGATAAGACTGCCTGAAAAACTTATAAATATCCTATAAAACTTTCCCATGTATCTTTTATTTCCACTTACACCTGATGTTTTGCGCATTTTGAAAAGCTGCCTGCCATTGTTGTGAGGAACTTTTTATTCATAAAAAATAGAAATAAAATGTTATGATCGCAAATTTTATGGCTACAGTAAAACTTGTTCAACCATAACGTTGCTGTTCAGAGACTAATAAGGGAAATCGTCATGCATATTGTTCCCATGAAGGACGTATAGGGATTCCCTCAAAGGTTGTGTTTTAATATTCATTCGCCGAATTGTTTGCAATAACGTAATCGAGGATATAATAAATTATTGTGTGTGTTGCGTTGTTTTCTCCATAACGCATTGTTGCGTCAGTGAAGTGTCAAGCTGATGTTTGTCCTTTTTACCAGCAGATGGCAGTAGGCCTATGGATTTATTTGCTGTCAATGAAAGCCTGGTTTTCTCTTAGTTTATGTTGGATTATACAGACCTGCAATTCTTCAGGTTATTGATACGGACAATTCAAATTATATGCAGCATATATTTACTTGTATTCTTTTATATTGTTGTATCACATAGGCCTATGCATTGTTGGCAGAGATGGGCAGCATTTTAATTACATGTATTTAAAATGTTTTATCACCTACTATGACAATAGAAATGTCATACAAAAATACATCCTGTGCCTTTTTTCAAAATCTGATTAATCGAATAAAATAATCAATGATTAATCCATTATTTTTTTAAAATATATAAGTTAGTGGCAGCCCTAACTATGCAACACATCTGATTCATATTATTTTAACCTGTTAGTGTTTCTTGCAATGTCCCTCACAAATAAACTAATAAATACATGAATACAAACACCCTAGCTACTATTGAACATTTGAATGTGATGAGGAACCTTTAATGTTCATATGAAGGCAAGTGAAGGAGCTGCTATGTTACGTTCTAATAACCTTTCCTATTTTAATTTAAACTTTTTTATGTCAACCTCCCAGTGAGGTGCAGTTTCCTCATCACTGCCCTTTGCATTGAGGCCCTCCAGACTGGACCGCTATGGACCACTTCGTCTTTGGTTTGCAGTCCGTCGACCGCCAGTAAAACAAGGAAGAAGCAGCCACCGAAAAACAACGAAGAAGCCGCCGAAAAACAACTCACCTGATTTAGACAATGCAAAGCAGCACTTTTAATTTATTTTTTGATAACTTGAATCTATTATTCTTGAAGTCACTGAAAACTCAGTTTTCATTTGTGCAAGTTAAGCATGAATAAATGTTACCTTTTGTCTTAAGTTTGCCTTTGTATGTTTGATTATTGCAATCAGTTGATTTGACTTTTTCAAATACAAAAATTACATAATTTTGTACATACTTTACTCTGCTTTCATGCCATAACACACTGTCTCTCTTTGTGCACAGCAGACTGGAGTAGAAATTAAACACCCCTATGTACTGAATCAAGAATCAATTTTTGAACCGGGAATCGTTTTGAATCAAGAATCAATTTTGATTCGAATCGTGACCCCAAGAATCAAAATGGAATCGTGAGGTACCCAAAGATTCACATCCCTAGTCATCATGGCTCAGGCAAGATGAAGATGGGGCCTCCGCGCAGTATGTGCTGCTCCTGAGAATCACCGGTCCAAACCTCCCGGCGGACACGTCCCCGGCAACGCTGAGCACAGCGAGAGTCTCCTGACCGTTTCATTTTTAATTCCAGCCAGGACAAAACAGGAGTTTTTTTTTCTTGTGTTCATTGAAAAGTAAAGATTTGTTAAAGATTTGTTAAAGATTTGTTATCAAACTGCTTGTGGTCTGCACTTTACGCATGTTGTGGTCAACACAAGCCTGGCCTTAATACTAGTAACTTTAACTGGTACACACTACATTTTGAATCTGTCATTACTGTGCCACTTCAATATTATTCAGTTTGGATCATTAGATTAGTTATATTCAAAGTATAAACAAACTGAGGAACGTAAGGGTGACAATGCTGCTAGCATCATTCTATAGGACTATTTAAACAAATACAACACAGACATCAATACAGTTGCTTGGTTTTATGGACTTGCAATCATATCCAGGTCATAAATGAAAACATAGTTGTACTTTTTAATCCCAATTTTCATGAAGTGGATATTTGTCAAGGCTCACTGTTGCAAGACTATGTTATCCCAGTACAGGTCAGGCCCAGCAGTAAGGAGGACCACCCTACACTCCATCCATAGCAGTCCAGTCTGGAGGGCCTCAATGCACAGGGCAGCGATGAGGAAACTGCACCTCATTGGGAGGTTGACATAAAAAAGTTTAAATTAAAATAGGAAAGGTTATTAGAACGTAACATAGCAGCTCCTTCACTTGCCTTCATATGAACATTAAATTTTCCCTAATTACATTCTAATGTACAATAGTAGCTAAGGTGTTTGTATTCATGTATCTATTAGTTTATTTGTGAGGGACATTGCAAGAAACACTAACAGGTTAAAATAATATGAATCAGATGTGTTGCATAGTTAGGGCTGCCACTAACTTATATATTTAAAAAAAAAATCGATTAATCATTGATTATTTTATTCAATTAATCAGATTTTGAAAAAAGGCACAGCATGTATTTTTGTGTGACATTTCTATTGTCATAGTAGGTGATAAAACATTTTAAATACATGTAATTAAAATGCTGCCCATCTCTGCCAACAATGCATAGGCCTATGTGATACAACAATATAAAAGAATACAAGTAAATATATGCTGCATATAATTTGAATTGTCCGTATCAATAACCTGAAGAATTGCAGGTCTGTATAATCCAACATAAACTAAGAGAAAACCAGGCTTTCATTGACAGCAAATAAATCCATAGGCCTACTGCCATCTGCTGGTAAAAAGGACAAACATCAGCTTGACACTTCACTGACACAACGATGCGTTATGGAGAAAACCCGTGTTAACAGTAACAACGCAGCACACACAATAATTTATTATTTCCTCGATTACGGTATTTCAAACAATTCGGCGAATGAATATTAAAACACAACCTTTGAGGGATTCCCTATACGTCCTTCATGGGAACAATATGCATGACGATTTCCCTCTGAGCAGCAACGTTATGGTTGAACAACAAGTTTTACTGTAGCCATAAAATTTGCGATCATAACATTTTATTTCTATTTTTTATGAATAAAAAGTTCCTCACAACAATGGCAGGCAGCTTTTCAAAATGCGCAAAACATCAGGTGTAAGTGGAAATAAAAGATACATGGGAAAGTTTTAGTATATTCAGAAGTTTTAGGCAAGCTTATTTTCCTGTCTTTTATTTTGAAGTTACTTCCGCCTCTGATGTCACCGCCGTTCTACTTTTTGTCCAAAACAATAAATGAAAAAATGAATCTGCAAAAAACCAAAATCGGGCTGTTATTTGAATTTGGTTTTGTCATTTTTCGTTTTTTGATTCTGACAACAAAACGGAAAACCGGCTCCATTTTCTCGTTTTAAACCAAAAAGAAAAAAAACAGGAAAACCATGGTATTTCTTTTTTTCGTTTTTGGTTTAAAACGAAAAAACGAACTGCCTGAAGGTACCCTGTACCGAATATCCACCCAACATATTCTTGTATACATACAGTGATAAAAACAAATGGCAGATTGTTTCTTCTTCTAATTCACAAAAAATATAAAAATATTCAGTATGAAGTCCAATTCACATCTCTCCAGTGTCTTTTTTGTTGGATCTATTCGATGCAAGCTCTTAAAGGAAACCTCCTTAATTTTATTAATAAGACAGAATTTGTCCCCAACAAGCCAACCTTGTTGTTAGTTAATTTAATCATAAAGCAAAGCCCAAGAAAATTTTACGGACTTCATTTGTTCAAATTATCCCAAAAGTATCCCAAACGAAAAAATGTATATCCTAATCATACATTAATTGCCATTATGTTTTTAGATGTTCTTGTTTCGTTTTATTAAATGTTCATTTAATACCTGGTATTTGTATAATTTGTTGTCGGTAAACGCAGTTGGGAGAAATTTTCTTGCCTGGCTTTCTGCCAGAAAGAGACCTCTTGGTTAAGATTAGGGGGGGAAAAAATCGTAGTTTGGGTTTAAATGAACAGGTTTTTGTCATTAAGAGCTTCCTTGGAGAACGGAGAGTGCCACAAACAGGCATTATTTAGGACACCTTAAGCACGCACGCGGTGCTCTGAAGGACCCTCCTTATATAAACCGTGGCTCAACGACGATTCAGTCTTTTTTGACGACTCTTCCTGTGACTGCAATTAAGCGCACGGTTGTCAGGACTTTTCACCAGTTACAGTACCTCCAAGACAATCGTGGAAGGTAAATGTGATGCAGTTTGAGTCTTGCGGTGCCTTCTAGGCTTCTGTAGCGGTCACTCTGCGAAAATGGGACAAAGAGCAGCGTCTGCAATGTGTCTGTGATGCCGAGCACATGGCACGGCGAGAAGACCACACTGTAATGGAGGGTAAAGAACCTGACGTTAACACGTGAGCTCTTAGTAGATCGTGTAATGAGTCCCCACATTAAGTTCGCAGAGATGAGGCCTGAGTGTCCAAGGAACTCCTGAAGAATCAAGTTTGGAGATGGATGAATAAAGTGAGTGACTTTTAGACCATAGGGATTTAGAGAAAAGCAACTGCAGTTTTAAGAAAAGTACATTGTTGTGGGTTTTTGAACTATCGACAAAAACCCCCCTCATGAATGTGTAAAATAGTTACTGATAGTTAGGGCTTTTAAAATGTCACTTAAATTGTACAGGCCCAAAATAATATTCAACCACATCATGATGTAGGGATATGTATAAGTATAGTCTGTAGAGGGCCGCGCAATGAAATCGGCAAAAAATGGCAGAAAAACAATAAGACTGTTTTCTAATGTAAGTAAATGCCCAATTTATTGAGTTATAGTCCTGTCCTTATTTATCAAACATTTCTGTTGAATGCGTGTAGCCTATCATATAGAGATCTTTTAATACATCTTTGTTCAGACAGAAAAAAAGGCTATTCATGGGATTTATATCTTATCTGCAGGGACAGATGAGTTTAGCACTATTCATCAACTTATGACTTATGAATATGACAGCAGCGGTAGTTGAACGTTGCCACGGCAATGAGTAAAACAGTCTTGAGTGTTTTTCAGCCGCTTACAGTCTGCGCCCTCGCAGACTACGTACAGCTGCAGTCTGCGAGGGCTCAGTCTGCAAGTCCAGAGGGTGGACATTTGAATTCAGCCTTCATCCGGACTTGCTCGCGTCATACAAAAGTGGATAGAGAGAGCGAGGCGACTGCAGTTTTTTCGAGCCAGGTGCTGCAGTTGCTCTCCACTGACTGATGTTGAAGTTTAATAGTCGAAGACTAAATACATTCATCAAACTATATGTAGACTATTGTATATTGACAGTGGATCTTTTGAATTACTGATGTATTTAGCACAGTTGTCCTTAGTGGGATGTGAGGATTCTTAAAATCACATCTGTACAGACGTGAAGCTGACTATATCTGACTGGTCTTAAATGAAAGCTGTTTTCTTGTATTGTGTTCTTCTGAAAATATTAACCCAATAGTCAAACATATTTATTTATGCTGTATAGTTGTGAGGACAGGTCTGCTCTGCAGTTGCAAACTAATGAGATGCATTTTAATACGGTACTGTCATAATTTGAATAATTGAGAACAAACATGAGTCTGATAATATTTTAATAAATCTGCATCAGATCTAAAAGGATGTGGTGTTTCTGTGACTTACTGCAGGCATGAAAAGACACTGGTGTTTGCAGGGGTTGCAGCCGCCTCTGCAGGGATTTAGCCAAGACTCTGTCCCATCCTCATTAAATATGAAGAGGCACTAGTGTATTTTTTTTCTATTCATTTGCTTGTAAATTTTCTTCTATCTCCAGACTACATGGTGGCCTAAATGCTGTAGCAGATGGCTTTTAAAATGCATGTGTTAAATGGTTTAATTCTCATTAATCTCCCCCTAATAACCAGATGCATTTCCAGGGATCTGTGTCCTCATTGGTAACCACATCTACGAACATCTTTATGCAGTCAAAGTATAACTAACATTGATCTTTCTTGTAGATGTTTTGACTTTTGGGTTACACATTAAATTTAATTTAAAAATGTGTTCATGAGAAGGGAGATGACACACCTTAATACTATTCATAACAAAGCCTTGACTGTGTAATGGAAATTACCCACATTGCTGTTTCAGGATCACACTGACTAAAGATGGATGCAGCATCCACATCAGGCTTCTCAGAGCTCTCAAGGAACATGATGTCCTTCCCCTTCCTCCTGGCACTACAGTACTCAGTAGTCCAAACCTGAGTGAATGTAAAGTCTGCAGCCATGAGCTGATGGTGAGTCAGGATGGGATACCACAGAATGAGATACTATAAAAACCATGACATGCTACTGTGATGATTCACAAGACTAGAGTCTCTGATTATACCATGAAGCTCTTTCACAGTGCACTGAGCGTGCATATTACTGATTGTCTGTATGAACTGCCAACAGTAGAGCTAGTTAATACTGTTTTCATTTCTCTCACCAGGTGTTCAGACTTGCTTGATTAGATGGAGACAGCTGTCTAGGTAAGTCTGAGATTTAAAAGCCTCTGTTTTGTGCTCTTCTATGTGGAATGATGATTTCATAGACTAGAGTCTCTGACAAATGATGATGCTGTTTTCACAGTGCACTGACCACAATACCACTAGTGGTATGTTTTAACCTATTCATGCTAAATCACCTAGACCTTATTGCTTGACATTTTTGGAAGGGTGCTCTATAGCTTTTGCTATCTGTTGTTGTTGTTGTTGTTGTTGTTGTTTTTTTTTAGTTCAGCGTTGCCATGTAAGTCATTTGCACACACCTGAAACTTGCTTTAGGAGGCTAATCATAACATGTCTGCTTTAATTAAAGCAGCATTATCATGGCATAGTGAGAAAGTATGGACATAAGGTTTGTGCTGCATCACTTGTGATTTTTGATCATAATGGCAGATTAACTATTAATAACTGGGAACTCAAAGATCTGGTTCACCCAAATAAATAAACAGCTTAGTATAGTTTAGAGTTAGCTGTCATGTTTTGAGTGAATAGGAGGTGCATCTGATTTCTGTTGTCACCATAGCACAGTATAGGTGAATGGTTTATGTTTTGTTTTGTTTTTTTGGTAGCATATGAACATTAGAACTCTAACTTGAAAAACTGACCCAGTTATCTAGAACCTCACTGAACACTTGCCAAAGGGACTGTTCCTTTGAAAGACAGCTGGTGAAACTACTATATAATAAAGCCTTAGTGTGATTGCAGTAAATGGGCTAAAACATCCTAACTGGTGTGGGCCCTGAACCTGTCCTTGTTTTGCCAGATGATGGTATTGATGATGTAAATTTGCCTTGCAGCTCATCCACACAATGCCAGAAAGCAATCACCGCAGCAGTTCCGCAGCTGTAAGTACTGACTGGAGTCCTCAATCTCAATCCGAGTCCAACGGGTCCCGAAAAGCCCAATGGGTCAGACTGGGTTTAAATGTGCACTGATTGGTTGGCTAGGGCTCTGGCTGTTGGGAATTTTGTATGTTTTAATACATAAAAATTTAAGTGAGCCCTCTGTGCTTCATTTATTTTTATAATGTAAACCCACCATTTACTATAGACTTCTAGATTGATTTAGGAGAAAGCGCAGCCAGGCTCCGTGCTGTGCTGTCATTCCTCCCGGACGGAACAGGGGCTTGGAATAGCTTTTATCTTGTAGCTTTTGTGTCTGAGTTAGGTCAATGATGATGCAGTTATTGGTTCATCTGATCCTAACTGAAGTCTACTCGCAGCGCACTGAGACACTCAGACTGTTGGAGCTTCTGTTGAAGAATTTGTGGATGCAAAGACCGGTGTTAATCTCTATTTCTATCCTGTCAGGTGTTACTGGGGCACCCCAAGCTGGATTGCATTCAGACACAATGAATTAACCAGGTTGGTATTGATGTGATGGGGTTCAAGTGTTTTGCAGAGCTTCCTGACAGACTATAAGACTTGTTCTTCAGGGTGAGTGACACTGAAATTCAAAAGTGCTGAGAATTAACCCCAAGATTTAATGTCCCTTTACAGGTGCTGCAACTTGTGAGTTGGGACCCCTGAAAGCTTCAAAGATGCCCAATATCAAGTCATCCAGGAAACAAAGCAGTAACTGTCTAAATGCATCCCCATTGTTTTTGTTGTTCATAGAAGTTACTGGCCTCTGAAATTGGGTTCTTAAAAGTTGTTACCTGCCTTGTTGGTGCAAAGCTTTTTGCCCCCAGCTGTAAATGGCTGACATTTACATGCATTTAAAGACATTTCAAATAAATGGTTGACAACACAATGGCTTGTTTTTTTTTGTTTGTTTTTTTTTCCCCCTCTCCAGTGATGGTAGGTCAATTGCAATAAAATGAACCATGTGGCTAAAAGCTGTTATGGGATGTGACTGATCTAAGTTAGAAATAAGCACATTGACTCAAGTACTTGATGGTTTGAGTAGTTGAGTATTTATCATTTGGACCTCAAGGGGAATGCCACCTAAACTAAGAATTCTAATGTTGACTCCATGGCTTGGGAAAGTTGAGTTAATAGGCTTGTTCCAGATGAGCCAGGCCTGTGCAGATTTGATCACCGACGGTGCACAATGCATGCCGTGGAGTTTGTGACTTCGTCCTGACTTGCTCTGACTTAATAAAAAAAAAGTGATAATCTTGCGACAGCAAGGTGGCTGCAGTTTTTAGAGCCAGGCGCTGCAGTTGTCCTCCACCGACTGCAAGACCCGGAGCATGATGGGGAAACGCCTGGCTCTCGCCTGATCTAACAGCTGATTGGTTCAGATGTTTACTCAACAATGTTTTAGATAAACTTAATTTGTCTTGAATTTCAGAGATTTAAATTTTGTCTGATTTGAAGGTTTATTCTGTTTAAAGAATATGTTGTGTGACTGATGGTGAAGTTTAGTTGTCAGAGACTGAAAACATTCATCATAAACTATAAATGGTCTACTGTAGATTAACACTGGACTGTTTTAATTATTGAAGTTGCCTGTTTAGCATCAGACTTGTCAGTGCAATGTGATGATTCTTAAAATAACATCTGTACAGATGTGAAGCCCTGACTATATCTGATCTTTAATGAAAGCTGTTGTGTATTTTTTTTCCTCTGAAAATATTAGCCTTACAGTCACACAATTCATTTAGGCTATGTAGTTGAGGGGACAGGTCTGCTCTGCTGCAACTAACTGACTTACATGAAAGCTCATGCAAAATGGAGGTTGAGCCATGAACAGAAATGAAAATAAGAAACTTTAAATAAATCCATGTATCGTAAAAAGAAACAATTGGAGACTGAAAATGAATTGATGTGGGTCTGATAACATTTTTAATAAATTTACATCATATCGGACAGGATGCACGTGTTTCTGTGACTTCCTGTACGGACTGAAAGCTGCTGGAAACCATAGACATACGTAGACGCCGCATCGAGTGGGTTTGCCCGCTGCTGCGATACGTCAACGTCGCCGCCATATTGGATGTGGCAAGGCTGCGCTGTAAACTAATACAAGTGAATGGACTTAATTTCATAAAGCGCCTTTCTACAAAGAAATATACGTTAATGCCTCTCGTTTATTCATTCACACGCACACACACACACACACTAATATACTTGGGAAACAGGCACCAAAAACAATGTATTTGATCTTCTCAGATGGCTAAGATAAGAACTTTATTGATCCCACACAGGAGTAATTCACCTTACATCAGCTATAGAGAACAAGGTAGTGCCGAAAAACAGTACACAGTATATACTGTGTATTTTTTCGGCACTACCTATAGGGTTAATTCAGGGTGAGTGGGACATCAGGTTGGGTGGGACAGTATAAGTAAAATGGCTGTATTTTCTCCCCTGGTCATTGAAAATAAAAACTTTTTTTGCTGAGCCTTGCTGTGAAACCACATTATCAGAGTTGCTTACACTCATTGGTGTGATGTCACATGTGGGGGCGGGGCCAACATCAATCAGGAAGTTGACCCTGCATAACCCAAGGTGAGGAAAATGGCATAAGATTTTGATTGTTATGATCATAAGGTTATAAAAATGTTTTCGCCAAGATATTGCAGAAATATTTGCTGGAAACATGAATTTGATGCACTTCTACAATAAAATCAGAAAAAAAATGTTAAGATTATGTTTACATTTATGGAATTAGGCTATTTTTATTTTGTGTGTTTGGGTGGGTGGGACAGCATGGTTTTGGGTGAGTGGGACAGCACCAAAAGGCACTCTTAATGAATAAAAATGATCAATCCTGCCATAGGAAATCATTATATATGTTCCAGATTAATAGTTCCTAACCTTCTTGTGTGTGCAGACCCAAAATCTACCACACAATTGTTGATGGAGCACCTCAATTTTACTGCTAGCCCGACTACCTAGCTAGCA